TCTCTGATCCGTCCCTTGTCTTTTCTCATTTTCATCCCTTTTTGTGATCTGTCAATCATTTCCAAAACATTTCCCTTTCTTATTTGTCTTGTCTGACTGAGGGGGATTTAATCACAAGTCTCTCTACCATTTTTGGTGAATCTATTAAACAAAGTTTTTTCTCTGATTACAGAGAAAATTAGTTGCGGTAACTAAGGTTGTTATTCTGTGATGTGTCTCAGTAGCTTTTTTTGGTTTGGTTTGATTCTGTCATAACTCTGCCTACATAACATACTCGAAAAAAACAATCTGCCTTTTGCATCAGCTGAGGCTTGAACTCACAGACTCTGAGACTAAGAATCAATTTCTATTTCACTGAGCTAATTAGTCAGTGACAATTCATGTGTAGCTTCACAAACTGACTAAGCCAGACGTGCAGGTTTAGCAGCCGTCCGTGCATGGAAAAGCAGATTTCAAACCACTGTAAAAAATTCAGTAATAAAAACAAAAATCTGAAAATACACGTATTGCATCTAGACAGCATGGAGATGTTGGTAATTTGTTTGTAACAATGATTGATTTGCTCCATAAGTGAAAAACTGATGTTTAAAATTGCCATTTTTACATTGACTCCAATTGTTCACATTAGAGCAAAATTCAAAATGCTGTCAAAAATTCAGTTTTTGAGATGAAATTCTGAAATTTGCCACACATCATCTACCATGACTCTAGAATTTTGTCATTTTTTTCATGAACATTGAAGATTTATTTAGCAAGAATTTGCATGTATATGTTTACAGTTACCGTTTACAGTCAAACATTTTGATGCACTGTAGGCTCAATTTTTGATAAATCAAAAATCTGAGAAACATAGTTTTTGTACGACAGTCTGAAGATGCTCTGTAGCAAGTTTGGTGTCAATTGAGCAAAAATTATGGGAGGAGATAGGTTTAAGAAGTTTTACAGTTTTTGAAAAAACAGAGTGATGAACTTCATAATTTTTAATAGGTTTAAATGTACAAAAGTTTCTTCAGTATTGGGGCTACAGTTTGATGAAAGTTGTGAAGTTGTAGCACGTATGGTTGATTTGTTATGAATTTTCAGAGTTTTGAATTTTAGACACTTGCTGTAGCGCCACCATCAGGACTATTGGCTTGAGTTTACAGCTCAGGATATCTGGCATGAGACTGGACCTTTGTGCAAAGTTTGGTGAGTTTTCACCCATGGGAAGTATGATTTCCTCGGAAGAAGAAATAAGAAATAAGAAAGAAGAAGAATACCTAGGTCACTAAAAAAAACACAGTAACAATGTAAATCATAACTAATGCTCCAAAACAAAATATGGATTCTATTCTGTATAATCAAGACAAAAAATGTTCTGTTGTTAGTAATAATAATAATAATAATTTTTATTATCATTATTATTATGGTAATTAAAATAAAAATTCTATATATTTACATATGAAAATTCGAAAAATTGTTTATTATTGAATTCCTTATTTATTATCTAATTATTTATTTACTTATTATTTAGTATTATTCAGTATAAAATTATTGCCTAACTGCTGCATGAAACATTGTCTAGCAACTATATTATTATTGTCATTTATTTTCCTGGGCTTTTTAACAAGAAAAATTATAAACCACATTAAGATAGAGCATTGTTTTACAATTTGTAGGGCTGCTATGAACAATTTTTTTCATTATCGACAGTACAAAACACAAATGTAATCAGTTCACTGTAATGTAGGCCAGGAAAAGTAACATCTTCATGTATGTATTTGCAATTTCCTGTCTGTAGACAACTCATTTCAGCTCTAATTTAACCATGTTTTAGGTTTAAAGAAGTATAAAATGACAGAAGCAGGGCTGTAGCTAGGATTTTAGAAATACAGAGGCTGGGGGTCAAAGTTCAAAACATTCCATCTGAAAAAGTAGGTGACCTCAATGTGGTCAGTGGCACTGCACTGAAGCAGCAGAGAAGAAGAGCTCACAAACTCTGATGAAAGTGTGTGTGCTCCTGAAATAGACAGACAATCTGCAAACATGGCATTTGGACCAAAACACAAATTACCGTGGCAACAAAAAGCAAAATTGAAGTATTGTCTGTGGTAGACAAAACAAATCAAAGTGCCAGAGTGACACAAACAACCATAATCAACCAAATTCCAACAGACCAGGTGCTGCTAGCCAATCAGAGAACCCATAACCATTGGCTGCCATATCTGTCTGCATGGCTTGCTGTGTCAGAACTTTGCAAAATGTGTATGTGCACAGGTGCATGCACACCAGCATTTACACCTCTACACACATAAACCTGCAGAGTCACGTACACACACACAAGCACACACTGAGCAACTGTGTAATCGGCTTTCCCCTTTCCACCCACTAAAAAAATCCCAAGAATCACTTGAGTGTGAAATGCTGAAAACATCCTGCATCCAAATCATATCAAGAGCGCAGCAGATTCCCTCCACTGTTTGCCTGTTTTGTTTATTTGGCTCCTGCACACCGGCAGATTGAGCTCTCGTCATAATGACCATGCATTGTCAAGCCCACGGTTGTCGGGAGGGAAAGACAGGACTAGCTGCACTCGCAAGAGCTGCCATGACTCTAAATCCACATTAACAACAGCAGCTACTGCCAAAGTAACACAATGCTGCGAGGCATCTGATGCCTTGGTGCATCCAGCCTGCTCTCTGTAAGCCCTGCTGTGGAGAGCGACTCAAGCATCCCATACACAAGTTGTTTTGAGAGGTATGACATCCTGCTGGATGGTGTGAAGCAGAAAGGAAGAGGGAAGAGAAAGATAAAGAAAGGTGGGCGATGTGCTTCAGTGACCTCGGCGTTAGCCTTCTTGTTTTCTGCTGAAGCTGGACAACACTAGCTGGAGAGGGGTTGATAAAACGTTCTCTGAATGTTGTGATGAGATGCCTGTCGGTAGGACGGAGTGTCTCCACCTGTCAAACATCAGCTCGGCTTTTCCCTTTGATCTTCACCTCAGTGTCCATATGGGTTTCACTGGCCTTTATTTCAGTACATTTTCAGTTAACCCTCTTTACTTGCTTCTGGCCTGTTCTGTTTTGTGTCTATAAAAAGCTCGATAATAATTTAAAACATTTTACAGTAAGTGCCTCACACACAAAGGCAAAAATGGGAATAGAAAAATAAATTAAATGCAATTTCTTTGATGGTTAGGAGTGGATAACAACATGATTGAGTCCTTATGTTATTGTCAACACACAACTAGGTGTTTTTTTATGAACAACAATTTATTTAAATCAACTCAACAAACAAGGAGAAACAAATTTGATTCACAGCGGTGAACAGGCACATCTACAATGAAATGAGACTTTAAATAAAATATTTTGAAAATTACGGTAAACAGTATTTAGCTTTTAGGTTGTGTGTCTTTTATATTCCCAGTCTTAAATTAATTCTGTACATATTCATTATTATACATTTGTGGATATCACAGTTGGTTTTGTGATTAGTTTGACCAATGAAGGAGATCCCTCATTAATAGTGTAAATAATTTTTTTTTGTGATAGTGTCTACATTGTAAACAAAAGGAGGCCCACAATAAAATCTTGTGGAACTCCATATTTCACCTCTAAGAAATGATATTTCACATTATTTTTAAAAAGACTTAAAATTTGATTTTAACTTGTAGGTTCTGTGTGTTTCATATTTGCAGACATTTAATTATTTATATACGTAAAATATCATATATATTATCCACCAGTGTGGTTATGGTGACATTGTTTTTTTCTGTCCTTTTCCACTTAAGTTGATTCTCTTCNCTTCAGTGAGAATCTACAATGTAAATAGTCATGAACATAAAGAAAACGCATTGAATGAGAAGGTGTGTCCAAACTTTTGGCCTGTACTGTATATGATATATGTATATATGGAGAGAGAGAGAGATAGCTAGATAGATTGATAGATATAGATATAGATATAGATATATACTGTAAAACTTCAATTAAAGGCCCAGTCCCTTTTACTAGCCCATTGTGGCAACACATCTTGAAAAGTAAACACCTGTCTCAATTAGACGCCTGGTCTGGTTTTTAAATAAGTTCTTTGGATGTTTAAAAGCGGGATGTTGGCTACCTGAAATTATATGTCCATTCCTGGATTACCCTGTAAATTACTCATATTCCTTTAGTCTGTAAGGGTCCTCAGATCAAAAGAATCAAGAGAGTTTTTCTTAAATATGTAATCCAAGTTGTGAGGATTGTATTAACAGGATAAAGTGGTGTTCTGTAGATATGCTGCCATAACGCTCTCTCTCTTTGTGATGTGCTGTCTGTCAGACTTAGATCAAATGAATGATTCATGATAGATATATTATCTGAAGCCTAATATTTATACAGGTCATACTGGTGTAATAAACCTTTTTTTTTTCTCGGATTTCCTGATCTCTGCTGAACAGTTTTGTGTGAAGGGAATTAAAGACCTGTCCCATATATATATGCCTGCTGATTTTAGTAATTAAAGCAAATAATAGCCCGGGCTACTAATTGAAGTTTTCAGGTATATAATAATATAATAATATGACTTTCTTATATAGGAAAACCTTAACAATCTTCAAGAAAAAAAAGCTTCAAGAGCCCTTTAACCATCTTTAATATAACATATTAACCTCTTTAAGTGTCTCGCCAAAAACTACATTTTAGAGGATTACTCTTGAGGGTGTGTTCTCTGATGTGTCAATAGTGAGTTTACTTAAAGGTGCCCCAGGAAATATCTGTTGGTCCCAAACAAATTCTCTATTGTCCCTGCAAAGACAAGACACCATTCTCAAGTCCTGTTTTTTAGCCTGTACAAAACTGACCAGACAACAGAAAAACATCGACCACTGCCATCAGTGAATGTCATCTTTTTTGCCGATAGGACGACAGCAGTCAACAAGGCGAATGCTGGGCTGATAAATCCATGCATCTCTAATGACCATACATGTAAAACAGCATGTAACATGTTTCTCTGTTAACTCTCTTTTCTCTCTGGTCCTCTAGGTATTGCTATAGCCAGCGCTCTGGTAGACACTTCACAACAGCGAGTGATGGACTTCAAAGAAAGAGGCCTGGGTCTGAAGCACCGCAAGCACATTGTGCACCACCAAGGGACCTGTGTATGAACTGGATTACCTCAGCAAGGTAACAAGATATCCATCGTGCCCCCAAGGGATTTCCCTGGAGATAATTCTCACGGACTTAAGACAAAGGGACACCTTGTAAACAAAGGCAAAGCCCACAAAAACTGGGGGTATGATGGTCATAGATAGTGGCTTGGGAGAGGAAATGTGTCCACTGTCTTATCAGCAGGCACCCAAATTGCGAAAAATGGCACCTGTGATCCCTTTCTCCCCTGGATAAGATGGAAAACTTCTCTCTTTGTGTATATGTCGGTCCTGACGACCCAGGAAAACAAGACCTGGAAACCTGCAGACTGACAGTGAAAATGTGTTTCTCCACCACAGCTCTGGTCGGGCATTTACTTTGAGTGCTGGCAGGCTTTTTCCACTTCCATGCCATGTGGCTCTGCATCTCCAGGGCTCCACTTGTCTGTCATGCAGTCTGCCATATTGACAGAGAAAAAACACTTGTTTTACACCATTAAACCACACTAAATGGCTTTGAGCTCCTGTGAAAGATATTGAGCTGAAACTAACTGAGCTGAAATGAAGTCCTCCTGACTTACAAACCCACTCAGACTCGAGAGCAATGCTGGACAGAACAACACGGACCTAACTAGATCAATGCAAAACACTGTAGCGGGTGGTCATCTGTGACAAGGATTTGCTTGAGGAGAACGTCTCCTCTGGGAATTTTTAAGACTACTACTGTTGATGTTGAAGAAAGAAGATTATTGGATGTAACTGTTGAGATTTTGTCCTCTATGAAACACATGTAATTCTTGATTTTCCCTGCACCAACATTTGAAGTTATTCGTTTTGATATCTGCTCAGGTCCTCTGTAATGGAAAAGGGTCCATTATGTGTAGCTTTGGGCCTTATACACATCTGTATATGCACTACAAGTAAAATGCTTTACCAGTACATTAGGACCCTCTGTGGGATAATATTATGCAACTGATCATCCAAATGTAATGTTTATTCTGGGCTGTAATGTAACCTCGAGGTCGGTATCATCAAACACATACTACTGATGGTATACACACGCCTATTAATTCAGTTATAACTGTGAAGATACACTATACATCTTTTCTCATGACCTCAGTAAAGTCCATGCCTGTTTACTTGTGACACAAACTTTTATGTAACATATCTCCTTATGTAATATTTATTAATTATGCAAATTACAGTCAATAATTTTACAAATGCACTAAGATTTTTTTTGTTAAACAGAAAAACTAAACGATAGATTTTACAAAGCAAGTCTGTGCAGTATTCCCTTTTTTGCTTGTACCCTTGATGTCTTTCAATTTTCCAAATATTACTTATGTTATGCATATCATAGCAAGTTTTCTCTGATGTCAAAGTTTTTCCCTTTACGACTTGTGTTGAAACCTTCATCAAATATTGTAAAGTCACTTTTTATCAACTGCACGTGAACAGAGTTACACCACCGCTTAATCGTCTCCTGCCGCAGTAATACAATACAACACATTCTCACTCCGACCTCGTCACATATTGACGTTTGGACTCTCCTCGTCTATATATGACGTCCAAGGTACCCTGGGTGTGTTGGTTGTTGACGTTCTGGGACGCCGTGTCAACTTCAGCCTGTTACATGCATTGTCTTCTCTCAAAATACACTTAGGTTTGCGTACAGGGTTCGGCTTTACAATCCTACAGGAAGTGAACCGCCCACCCTACTTGGACTTCCGCTGCCTTAACTTTCATTGTTGTACCGCCGTGTTTCCCCCTGACGCCGCTGAGTGGCATTAAACTATAAGGGCGACCAGCTGCGTATCATGCTGGATTTCGACAACTTTGGAGCGAGACCAAATTGTACAGTACCATTTGGCGTACATGGAGAACAAAATGTTGTACAATAACAAGACAAGGATAACAATTGAAAGGACAGAAAGAGAAAACGACATCCTCTGAGCAACAGCTGCATTAGAAGAGAAGAAATCACCAGTCATAGGTAAAGGAAACTTGAGGCTTAGCTTAGCATCAAAATGTGTTAATAGACAACATGTTGCTTTAGCAGGTATCCTCCAGTCTTTGCAACAGAAATAGAAGATGGATTTGGATCAGGGAATAATAGCTGAACATACTATGGCAACCCAGTCACTCTGAAGTCATCAAAGTCTGGCAGTTGGGCAGTGACTTCCAGCATTAGACACTGATGCAAAAAGTCGTCTTTTAACACTAGCATGATACTGGTTTGGTCGCTGATGTAGTTCAATGGCAGTTAGTGGCATCAGGGTGAAACCCGGCATGACAAGTGTTAAGGTTGCGAAAGTTTGAGCAGTCAACAAACGCTGACTTTTACCCGGGAGAGCAGTGTTCACGTTCCTCAAGATTATAAGGTAAAATTACATCAATTTGTTGCGTTGTACCTACCGTTGTACCTTTATTTTGAAAGAGACTGTATGAAAATGGTAAATGTCCTGTGAAAACAGAAGTGTATTTTGAAAGAAGACAATGCATGTCCCCAAACGTCAACAACCAACACACCCAGGGTGCCTTGGATGTCCTATGTCCATGACAAAACGTTGATATGTGATGAGGTCGGAGTGAGAATGTGTTGACTATGGACAGACAAATCACAGTTTAAACCCATTGAATCTATCAACTGAGTAGACTGCAGAGGGCTGAATATAAAATGGACTAACTCAGTATTTTGAGTGATTGAGGGTTGCTTATGCTTTTCTGGACTGGAAAACAAATTCAGAATCCAAGGACCAATAGTATTCTCCCTGTCATTAAACTGTGGGGACAAAACGATTTCAAATGTCAACCACATCACCAGAAAATTGTGGCACTGTACATTTCTGCAAACCACAGATACAATGCATTTGCACATTATGTAGCAGATGCATTGAAATTCTACATTTCAACAACACTGTGGTTAAAACGTGGTTAGGTTTAGGGACAAAACCCACTTGGAAAAGATGTTTTGGCTTCAAATTCCTGGTTCTAGTGGCATAGTCCTGTCAACAAAAGCAGCAACATCTTAAAAACAACTTTTTTTTTGTTCCTGAAAAGCGTCCGAAACACAGCAAAGACTTGTTAAATCACAACTAGTTTTGTTTGTTGGTCTTGAACAGTAGTCTGCAACTTGGCAGGCATTTCCCCTAAGTGACACGCCATCCAAACTTTGGAAACGTTGACATGACAAGTATAAAATCTGCAAATGTAAAGTGTTTGTGGTTTGCAGGAACATAAAATGCCAACATTTTATTCTGATGACTAGGCTGCAAATGTAAGTGATACATTTGGTGTTTGAGTGAATCTGTTTTTATCTCTGTTAAAATATTTGTTATTGAAGAAGAGAAGAAAACAGCAATATAACCACTGATTCCAAACGCCTGAGCGGTGGTGTAGGTCTTCATGCACATGTATTGTCCATATATTGAGCCTGATTGTTTTCAGGCGTTTTGTCTTCATGTAATTTTGCACCAGTTTGTTGTTGAGACTTGTATTAACAAAGGGCAGCTCACCACTGTTTTCATCCATATGAGCATAAATCTGTACATTTACAATTAAAACATTTTGATGCCTTTTCGTATGGTAATTGGATCTGATACACGCGTTTTCTTACCTCTGGTATTGTGGGAGTGTATTGATCGGTGTTCTCAGGATGTCAATAGGGTCAAATGATAAGCTCAGCCAACACTATAGACTCTGCCATCCAACACTGCTGATAGAGTTACACAGAGGACTGGCTCAGCAACCTGGATGGACAAACACAGAATGAAAAAGCACTGAGTGCAACACACTTCATCTACGTGTTACATTCAGAGACAGTGTGTCTCAAATCGCACAAACTTCTGTACTTAACACTTAATATTCATGTGCACCAAGTGTGTTCACACTGTATAGTATGGGAAAATGCAGTGCACTACTGGTGCACTTAAAATGGTCCAAAAGTTGAGAGTGTAATGACAGGTCCATGTCATTGGTCCGACAGCCCATTGGTTCGACATCCCATTAGTCCGACTGTCTGCGGTGCTGAGCGGCTCACGGTGGGCGTATTTCTGCCTTGATGGTGCGCTGCGACCGGCTCTGGGTCAGCTGGGAAAGGCTTGAGGCGAAGCAGGCTCACGGCTTATGTGTTTGTCACTTTCTTTTTCATTTTAACCCACACCATGATCTTTTCCTGACCCTAACCAAGTGGTTTTTGTTCCTAAACCTAACCAGACCTTAAACACAGGGCATCATGATGATTTCGGAATGGACTTCGGAACAATGGGTTTAATATGGTCGGAACAATGGGTTTAATATGGTCGGAACAATAGGATGTCGAACCAATGGGCTGTCGGACCAATGGGCAGTCCCCATAATGATAGGCACTTCTCACCATCAACAGTTGCTATCTTTGTGACGCAGAGGAAGCTAGTCACAAACTTCTCAACACTTGACATGGCGGCTAGCAACAGTGAACACTGTCATGTTTTACAGATGGAAGTTATATGTGTTTTTGGCACTAGGTAGCAAGTCGAATAGAAGCTGTCAGTAATGTTAGTCGAGTCTGTGATGATTTGGTACCGCAAACAATAATTTGCTAGCTAGAAGGGCTGGGCCACTAGCCTGGAAATCCAGACCCAAATCTAAAAAGATTTAAGGTCTGGCTATGAGTAATGAAAATGGCCCAACTCGAGGGGCGGCACCAAGCATGCATTTGAAAATATCACTGCACGCAATTGGATAAGACTACGACCAATCAGAACAATATACAGGGTGATGTATACACTTAGCTACCAGCAGAGCTAACTGGTAGATTAGACTCTTGCCGTATCCGGTCAGCAAAACAGCAAAAACGTCCTTCTTGCAAAGGAAAGATTTGAGCGTCGTCTTCTGTTCCTCTTTTAGAGAAAAAGCCAAGTCTAACTCGTTCATTGTAGCGGCCAAAGCCGTTTCAAACAGCTGGTGTTCATCCGTAGCCGTCTTGCAGTGTTTACTGACTGATTCCGGACTTCGTCGTCGCAGCGCTGTCGTCATCTGTTTAGCTCGCCTCTGGCCCGCCTATATCAGATACACCAATGTGATTGGTGCAGCTCGGCTCCAACGGCATGGGTAATGAGCATCATTACTGATTGCCAGAGTGACTCGCTGAGCAAATTCAAATTGTGCTCTCGCGAGAACTCTGGATTTCCAGGGTACTGGGCCATATGACTTCATATCAATATTGAGATGATTGAACATTTTCCCTTGATAGCGATTAATGAAAGATTATTTCATTTTTGTTTTTTTGCCCTCATAGTTCACTGAGGTTTGTACTGTAAATATGCTCAGCTATTAGAGCTGGGATCATTTTTCTAATGAATGAGTGCATGTCTTATCTTTGTGATTTTAAAAGTGAAGCAAACACAGATGAACAATTTAAATCAAAGCACACAACGCTTGAAATGAAAAGTCTTACAGCAAAGGTCCCATTATAGTTTAAATGTAAAAATCAAGTTCCCTGACAATGCAGAAAATAAATAACTTTCACGTCTTGCAAACATGCGCTGAGCCGTCAGTGTTCATATTTGGTAACGTGATTGTGCTGCAAGCTCAGTTGCTCAGTTGGCTTGGAGTTCTTCTCCGTGCACGCAGTAGTACTTTTTTAAGGGACCATTACATGAACACGCACAGTGGGGAAAATATTAACAGAATTACCTACAGAAGCAAGACTTTGTCACTTAGAGGTTCCGAATGTCATTTTCGATTCATTTTTGATTAATTGCCCAGCCCTACTAGCTAGCTTAGTTGCACCTAGCTACGGCGACACATTTTATTCAGCACTGACGTGGCTTAAGTTTGGTTTATGTGTGTGACGGAAGTATGCATTTGAGACACACTCTTTATTTCAATATTCACATTTCTCTTATAACTAATTATCACTGCAAACACTTGCTGCACCATCACCAGCTTACTGAGCTTAAGAGTGGCACAACAGGTTCATCCTTGGTCTGTCTTTCGGGTGGATGAGTGTTTCTTCTTTTTGTCCTGACGAACAACATTAGGAATGGCTGCATTGCATCAAGGTTTGTCTCCCAAGGCCTTGATACAGTGCACACACATTTATACATTTATGAATATGGGGACTGCAGTGTTTTTCCAATTGTGGTGCAACACACACACACACACACAGTTTATAGATACACATTTACAGTTAATCCAGTCTTTTCATGGCTGTATTGCTTAACTAACAAATAGCTGCATTGTGCTTTAAATGGACCAAGGATTGTGTTCTTGGTGATGAAGCAGCGGGGGCTATATTGCAGAGGTGATCTTGACATCTTGGAGAATCAGACGATTTTAAGCAAATGTGGGACCATAACCAGAAGAAACACCGACATACATTGTTTCCAGGAAACAGCAGCTGAGGATTGAGTGGCTGCAGCGCTCTACTGTCTGGCTGCATTTCAGAATCCTTCACAGTCAGTGATGTAGTGGTAAATAAAAAGCTGGGTAAACAATGCTTTCATGTCAGTAATCATTTGCATATGCCTTTTTTTTCAACCTTAGAATGCCTTATCCTCTGGTAACCAGTGTCGGTCCCATACTGCTC